TATAGTAAGTCAAGTGTGCCATGTTTTTAGTGGCTAACTGTTAAATACTAGCAATGAAACGAATTATACCATGACCAAAAATACAATAGACAAGAAAACTGAATACAGCAGAAAGAAATATGAAGTATTCTCTATACAATAAAGTGCATAGTAAAGGAGAAATACTTATCCTCATAACTCTAGCAGATGCTGGAGGTCTGTTTTGAGTTTTGTGATATCCCATTTCTTTTAATATAAACAATAGCAATTATATAACAAGTCTGTGGGATGAATTATGGAGTGAGCGGGTTAGTTAGGCTGGGACCCCTGCACATCATCTGATCCAGCCTCCTGCCCAAAGCAGGCTCAACTTCAGCGTGGGTGGAAATGGTGGAATGAGGGAGACAAAACCATCAACAGGTGCTGTTACAGGAACCGGGCTGCTCGTGAGTATCGCATGCCTAAAACACTTACGTTCCTTTGGATTACGACACAGACAGACTTCGTAAATAAAACAATTCTGCATATATTTGCAGGTTTTACTTGCAAGTAGTCGATTAAAAATCTGTGTCAGTAACAAAATGGTGTGAGATTCATGGCTTGGTTAGGGGCATGCTTCTTTGCTCCATGCACCAGCTTCAAGCTCTGCATAAGAAGGGATGTTTTACTCCCATTCCAGATAAAATCATCCAAATGAATAGCACACACCAGTTGGAAGAAGTTGCTGCATGATTTTTAATGATTAGGAATAATAAATAAATAAATAAATAAATAAATAAAATCACATAACAAGGTCATTTGACCATGGTAAAAATATGAAAAGAACAAACAAGCAAAAACCAAATCCCATCTTTCTGGATTAAAACCAGTAGATCTACACACAAGAAGCAAGTGCAGCATCAGTTGAAGGTCAGAAAGAGCGTGGCTCTATCTCTGAGGTTGCCTCTTAGCTACAGGGAGGGCAAGAGAGAAAACAGGAACTATTTTACTTACTAGGGAGAAGATGCAGGGAGCCGTGTCCTTGTCCCGGTGTAATTTTCTCTAAATTCTGCCAGTTTTCAAACTCCTTTAAGGAGGAAATTAAGCTACTGGAATAGACCTCATATAGCTTAATAAGCGAATAACCAGGAAACCCAGACTGGCTGATATAAAAAATAATCACTTTTTTTCCTCTTCTTCCCTCTGCAGCACACTCATTTCTTACGTATTGTTACAAATTCAATGCCAGGAGAGATTGCATCTCCAGAGCAGAATTTGTTTTAAGGATCAGAGAGGCTCTGCAGGAGCAGGGCTCTGCACACAGGCTGCGTGTCCCAGCCTCAGTGCCAGGAGCTGGGGGTAGGAACCAGGCCATCTCTGTGCCTACAAAGCATCACACATGCTAGTGACACTACAGCAATAACGTTGCAAATAATGGCAAATAGCGGTGTTAGACTACAGGAAGCAGTACATTTTATACGTAAAAATATATGGCTGGATATTTTAAAGTTCCCGGTGAAGGGGTAAAATGAATAGCAAATGCTTGCTTGATGTACACAACTTGCGAAGTCTATTTACCTTTCTTCCTGTTGTTTCAAATGGAGATGTTTCCGAGGCAACAGAGAGGTTAAAGTAGGCTATAGCCTGCTTTTCTGTATTTAATGAGGCACCCCTTTCCATTGCTGCTGCAGAAGGTAAGTAAATGCATCCTGTAATAATTCAGATTTAAAGGAGTGTTTGTGTGCATGGGCAGAGGACAGGCTGTAAACCCATTGCTGGCTCATTCCGAGGTGTGGCTGGTAAATCAAACATAAAACAACGTGTACTTTTAAATCATAACATCATGTCGGGTTGGTCAGAACTTTCACTGTGCAGCAGATGTGAATTATATGGGCAAATAGTTCATTTTACTAACCAGAATGCCTGTGGGGAAAGAAAGGAGAAAAAAAAATAAAAATAATAATAATAATAAAAAAAAGTACTTCATCACAATGTATTTTTATATTTTTTTGAGAATTCTTGGATTTTGGTGCTTGTAGTAAAACGTACATTAAATGTCGTGTTCCTCAGGGGCATGAAGTGTTCATCAGCTGTATCAATAACCATCTTAAGGAATCATTTCAGAGCTCGTCCTGCTCTCACCAGCCAAGCACGTGTGTCTCATGCCGAAATTGTGTGGCGTGAACTTCATGTGGAGCTGACCCAGCAGCTCCTCAGCTGTGACTCGTACACATGAGAGCATGCATACTCCTACCCCAGGAGGTACATCTGCATTGAAGGAGTTGTCTAAAGATCGGAAAAGATAACTTGGGCATTTTCAGGGGATTCAGAAAGCAGATGGGCAGGTGGAAGCATGCTCCAGCTGGAGAGCTAGGGAGCCCAAAGCACCTGGTGAGCAGTAATGAAGGGTGCTATGTGCTTCCCACCTTGCATTGCTGCAGCTTGGGAAACAGCCCCCAAGGTCTAGTCCATGGCTAATGCTTGCAGGAAATAGTACGCTTAAAACTGATCAAAATGATTAGTGATTAAAGGTGTTTCAATAATATCTAAGTAGTTCAGATAACCCTGTTGTTTTGTTTGTTTTATGGTAGACTTTATAAGTATGTATATTTTTATAAATATATTTAATCTTTAAAATAAAATGATGAACTGGCATGCAAGTACTAAATACATTGTTTTTTTCCTATAGTATTTCCATTTAAGAAATAAGCACAACTCAGTTATAATCTCCTTGTGGAAAATGGGCTAGTTCATTTGATAGATGCATTATAAAGCACAAATATTACAAAATAGGCACTTCAGTAAATACATTGAAGAGTGGGAATGCTGAGGCATTGGCAAGGGCTCAGCTCTTCAGTAAATTTCTAGCACCTAGGTAGAGCCTATTGCAAAGGTAAAGTCTCATATCTTCATATGTGGAAGGCAGCAATTTCATAAGCAGCACTGGGCTTGATGTAGATTAGATTGGGCTTGGTACAGATAGATTGGTGAATCATTTTGATGGAGTTTTGGGAAGTGAAATCATCATGACACGTTTTAATGTTGTTACTGGAATAACAGCAAGAGTTACTTTAATTATTGTTTCAGAAATGTGGTCATAGGAAGTACCTCTGAATAAAATGTTTTTCTGTCTCTTGTGCAATGCTGGTCACAGCTGCTTCTGATTAAAGGGGAATGGGTTCTCAGTACTTATGGGATTAATAAAAGAAGACAAACCATCTTAATTAATTAGTCCTGACATTTAAGCTTCCTGAGAGCATGATGATGATAATATGAGGGTCATTAGAGATTACAGAGAGGCAATACCAAAGCAAAAGTTGCAGGATTATTCAGTATTGACTGGAAACCTGTCTGTACACTTCTAAAAAGGAGAGCACTGCGGACTGACTGCCTCAACAAGGTGGCAAAAGCTGATGGGCTCTTGTTTAACAGAACAGATTACTTCAGCTGATAAAGTCATTTAGAATAAAGCATTTTCAGCAAGCTGAAGCGTTAGCTGAATTTTAAGTTCACAAGAACACTTATTTAGCACTTAATGAATATAAAATATGTGTGTTACAAATCTAAGTCACAGATGTGGCATGGGTATGTGTTTGCTAAATAACTCTGGAAGCCTGAGAACACCTGTTTTCTTTTTCAGAAACCTCTTTAAGGCCCACAAGCCATAACCTGAGTAGAAATTAGGGCTTTGCACAGGGATGGACGTAAGCTGGGCTGCAGTCTCCAGTCACCTACCTCAGCTATCAGATGCCGCAAATGAACACTGCTCAGCCCTTGCAATTTACCGTACTCGCGTTCCTCCTTAACTTTCTCCTTGGGGATTAATATCTGTTATGGCCACATCCTGGTTTCCTGTGCAAAGTGCTTTTGGGATAACAATTCCCCATCATCCTTTGTAGCAAAAGCAGATCAAAAGCAATGCCTCTCGAAATGCATCCACTTGTATGCTATTGCATCAATACCGTTTTGTTCAGTGGTACTCAGTGCTTTATTCTGTTCCAGAAAACTGAGGAGTTTAATAATGGTATAGACATGGCCTGCCAAAAATGCTGTGAAGTATTATGAATCTTTTACACTCTTAAATGCGGAAGAAAGCATGCTCTCCTTCAGTTTCTTAGAAATAATTTTCCTAATGACACCACCCTCTGCAATCTGTGCTTTTTCTTATTGTTCAGCATACGTGGACTTCCCTCCATATGAGGTGAAACTCACAAGCAGAAGGCAAAATGATTTACGATGAAGGGAAGAAGCAAAAATGATAGTATGTTAAATGCTCTAACAGAATGAAAATATATTTCTGTTCTTATTCCATTCATGTGGAGGTGACTTATGGTGACAGATGTGTCTAGATAGAAATAAAATAAAACCCAGGCAGCTATCTGATTGCATTTGTCCAGACTGGGAAGGTTCATAAACTGCAGGAGCCCAGGTAAATGGGAAAAGGCTGAGAAACAGTTATAATATGTGTTGCTAAACACAAACTAAACCTTTATTTAAAAAATAAAAAAAAATAAAAATGGATGACCTCCAATTATTCCACACAGGGGTACTCAGGAAAGCTGCAGGTGATGCTGCTCTTCATCTAGGCTGCTCGTTTGGACCTAGAAAGGACATGCATTACACCTGTTCCTCACTAAGTGGGACACGACTGTGACATTGTCCTGATATCTAAAGGCTTTGCAATGAGCGTGGGGGCATAATGCATGCAGTCACTTCCAAGGGAGTGAGGTGGGAACTTGCTCCTTCCTTCTGCTCAGAGGCAGGGCTCTGAAGAGCTCTTGTTAGGCATTAGTGAAATGTCTTAAAAACGCAGCATTATCACTCTGTTCATATTTTCCCATCACACCTCCACCACCATGTCCCGTTCCTGGAGCACACAACCATTGGCCTGTGCCAAAGCACAGCTGGGAGCAAGCCGAGAGTTAGGTGGGGAAAACAGGTTTTTGTTCTTTTTTTTTTTTTCCCTGCAGCACAGGGACTGCTCTAGGACCAGCAGCAACGGGCAAGCCCAGGTGGAGATGGGTCACCCATTTGGCTGGGTGTGAGGAGAGAAGAGTGAATGGAAACAGCAAAAGCAAGTCAATGTGTGGGTGTGTCTTCTCAGAGTTAAGTTGGGTCATCTCCTGCGGCTTCCCTGTATGCTCGGGGAAACCCTCTGAAGTTGTGTGTGTGGGTACTTAAACTGTGGGTACTGCTGTGGTGCCTGTCTGTGTGCTCTTATCTGCAGGTTGTGGAGATGCAGGTGAGCACAAATGCAGCATAAAGGGTCTGTGTAGCCCCTGAGGCTTATATATTCATGTAGTCTTGTCCTTAGGCTGGAAATTTTCAGGTTGGAAATGAGGAGACATTTCTTCTCAGAAAGAGCAGTCAGGCACTGGGACGGGTTGCTCAGGGAGGTGGTGGAGTCGCTGTCCCTGGGGGCCTTCAAGGAAAGGTTGGAGCTGGTGCTTAGGGATGTGGCTTAGTGGGTAACATTGGTGGTAGGGAGATAGTTGGATCAAATGATCTTGGAGGTCTTTCCAACCTTAATGATTCTATGATTCTGTAAGGCCAGACTTACTCCTGTGTTCTAGCTGGTGTTTCATTTTTGCAATTGTGAGGATGAATTGCAATGATTCGATTTTGTCTATAATGAAAAGCTCTGTTATGAGGACTATAAAATTGAGTTCCTCTTCTGGAAACCCTCTGAAGTTCGTACATATGTTGTTGGGGTGCCTGGCTGGCTGTCTCTTTCCTGCTCTCTTCCCTTCCTCCTTCTTTCATCAAAATCTGGCAGTAGGGAGAGTTATCAAAGGAAACTTTATTTTGCTTATTTGTAGACTTTGATATATTCATTTGTAACCTATATAATTAGCAACAGCAACTCTGATCACAGTCCCTGAAAAACTCACATGGACATCAGCTAGCAATATATTTGAAAGCCAGCCATGTAATAAATTACTGCTTCTGATGACTTAAAGGTTTTATGTTCAACGCACTCTTTCTTTTCATGCAGAGGGTGTGTTGTAAAATGCCCTACAGAATGTGGAAGAAATACATATAATTGCCTAAATGTCAAAGGGAAAAATCATGTCACTCAATTAGAGAAAAAAAAAAAAGTTCTTTAAGAAGTTATTCCCCTATTGTTTGCCTTCAGTATCCTTCAATTACAATAGCTCTAGTACTATGAGCTCTTTTTGAGGAGGGCAGGGGAAGTAAAAGACCAAGAAAAGATATTTTTTAATGTGTGTTTCATGGTGCAGTTAGGATTTTCTCAAGACTCCGTAGCCAATATCTGCTACTTCAGCTGCCTTCTAGAAATAGGAGGTCTGAGTCTTTGCAGGTGAGAAGCAAACAGACAAATAAAGAGCCCTAAGAAACTTCTTAGAGCATCATAGTCTGTAAGCAAGCCTGTTATAATAAAGTTTGCTTGGCTTTAATTTTGCTTTTGTCTTAACAGGATGAGAACCCTGTTTTGTCATCTTGATTTTTAAATTTTTTCCTCACAGAACAGACATACTTAGTTAATTTCCTAGAGGATCTACGGATATGTGGTTGGTGTTTTGGTTGTATTTTTTCTAGATCCATGGATATGTGGTTGTTTTTTTGGTTGTATTTTTTCTATCTGTATTTCTGTCCATCTAAATAGGTCAATCTGAGCTAATTACAGTTTGTCTGTAAATTGCTAACGATATATAAATTTCAGATCAGTTTATTTTTTTGCATTGACTGTCTTACTGTGTGGACACTGCTAGATTTTAGTTTTTATGTCCACTCATCATAAACATCTCTAAAGATGTACTGCTTTGCAAATGTTACCTTGAAGATGGAAGCAGTGAGAGGACTGAATTAGTAACTCCACCACGTGTACCTTGTCCGTCTCAGGAAGGTGGAGCTGGAGGCAGCATCTCATGTTAGAGATTGTGTTCAAGTCTGTCCCTAAACTGCTTCCAGACTGCACTCATCCAGCACAAAGGCATTTCTTCCAGTGCAGTCTGATGGCACAACTAAGGCTGAGCTCTATTTGACAGAAACTAGCTGTGTATGCAGGCTCCCTGAAACTTGTGCTGCTTTGCTCAGCAGAGGAGGAATCTAAAAACTTCTCGCGTCAAAAGATGGAAATGCAGATAAACAGCAGCCTCTGCTGGGGATGAAACTTGCGTGCTTTTTGCAGATGCTGTCAATATGACTGGGGACACCACAAACACCAGTTAATTAGAGAGACATTGATTTGGGGAAGGCTGTGGAAGCGCATGCAGCCTTCAGGCTTGGTGATGAGCTAGATGAACTCAGAGTGTGCCTCACGGAGCCCAAAGGAAGTGATGGAGGGAACATTTATTTAGGTTTGGGTAAGTATCAAGTGTAGTTACGACCACAGACTTTTGTGGGAAGAGGAGGAACTACAAAAACAAGCAGAATTACATTGATGTTGGTAGATCTGTAGCTATCCCGGCAATAACTTCACCACATGGCTGTTCCCATTAAAGATGGACAAAGCTACAAGTGTACCGTGGGTGACAACACTGCTCACATCTCTCTTCCTGATTCCTGTCTTCCTCTTAGAGATGCCTTCTCCATCTCTGAGTTAAATGCAATACAGTGCACGGAAGAAAGACACAGGAAAATCAATTGTGCAGTCAGCAACTTAATCACGTCCTGGAGGGAACTGATCACTGAGCTATTTGTGTCATGGAGCAGTTGGTCTGAGCACTGCTCTCCTCCAACATCGCATCCATCACAGTGCATGGTGCATTTAGAAGCAGCGAAAAGTGCTGACTGCTGAAAGTAATGGAAATCCCCAGCAGAGTCAAGCTGAAAAAGAAGATGATGCATGTAAACGGTACAGGAAATATTTTAACAGCTTGTGAAGTGTGGGGAGAAATGATTTCTCTTTTCCAGAGGGAAATGTTTCTGGAGAATTTCCACTGTCATCTGGCACTCTCCAGCTCTAAGCTAAATGTCAGTTTTGAAAACCAAGCCCTCTACCCTGCTTTCTTACACTCTGTTTTCTTTACCAGCTCTGTAGACCAAATATTGTGTACATTAACTTTAACACACTGATATTCAAGCCCAGCTCTGGGTTGTGCTGTGGAGAGAAAAAGATGACATCAGCTGAGTTGTTACTAAAGGCACTTTGGTATCTGCAGCATGGCTTTTGGGGAATGCCCTGTTCATATGAGGACTGATGGGTGGGAGTCCTGGGCTTGCATACAGCTAACCTGTGTAAAAATGCTGCAGAAAGAAGCAGCTTCTAGTGGCCCCTTTTTTCTTCGGCTTTGGATTTGGTGCTAGTCTTTGGACTGTTTCGCTAGTCCCTTTGAGTCAGCCTTCTTTGTAAAAGGAGGCTGCTGAAAGAGAGGGCAAACACATTTGCTTCTTTCAGCCCATCCTTATAGCTGGCATCCTTCTTGCATTTATTACTCACACCAGAAGCTGTCACCTTCTGGTGTAATACCTTCAGCTAGAAAGCTACTCCAGCTGGCTCCTCGGCAGCGATGCCAGAATAGCAAATTCCCTCAAATGTTTGCTTATACGACGTTTTGGGGCATACACTCTCAAACAAACTTCTTTCAGCAACAGTTGCCTGTTGTCGATACATATTCAGCAGCTGCTCCAGCACAGTTTTTATATTTTTCTTCCAGTGCTGCCAAGTGATCTTTAGGTGCACTGTGGCCTCTGTAAATATTGTGCTCTGCTTGGCACTGCTGAAATCCACCCCACAAATCGTGTGCTCTCTCCCAATCCTGCAGTCATTCCTTTTAGCTTCATGCCACCTGCAATTTCTGCATTTCCATCAGAGAGAAAGCTGGTTGTGTTGGCATACAGGTAAACTGTGGAAGTGAAAGCCAAAGGCTCACTCTGCAGGGATATGAGCCATGGGTCTGCTGTGCCCCCAGGGAAGCAGTGGTTGTGCCCTTCTGGCACAGTGATGCTGTGTCATCAGGGTAGCTGGGAAAGCTTCTCAAACCCTTCTCCTCCTTGCAGATCTCTCCCTTGGGGCATCTGGGCTTTTCTTGTTTCTGCTGTCAACAAGAGCAGCAGCAGAGATCGTGGTGCATCAGGCGCCAGCTCCTTCTGTCTGGCAAGAGGAGAGCCGAGTGCATTAAGGAGATGGGCACTGGCAAGTTATCCGTTGGACAAAAACTGACTTTGGCCCCTGGGAATCATAAGACCAGCTCACAGGCTGGGGAGGGGTGGTTAAAAATAATTGCAAATCAACAGCCTACCTATATATAACCCCTATGATCCTGCTTCTACTTGAGCTAAAAATCATAAGATTTTCACATTTTTCATAGTTTTCATAGGCTGTTCTCCTGCACTACATGATGCTTGTAGCAGTGACCCTGTGCTGTTGTGTCTTCAGGTTGCTTCTGAATGGGCTGCGTGATGCACGTGGGCATTCTTTGCTCAGGGGATCCTGCTGTTGGGCGGCACACCTCCAAAATGAGCATCCCCGCACAGGGCGGTAAACATCATGTAAAATAAATTCAGCAGAGTGTCAGAAAATGCTGGCTGAGGTATGTGCAGTGCCAGTGGTTGGACTGTGTGGCATCCTAGGTCTCCAGAAGGGCATCAGCAGCTGCTAGAGCTGATGCTTGGAGGCAGTGCAGGTGGAGGGGCAGGGGTGAGCATTGCCTGGAAATGGCAACGAGCAGCTGGGACGTTGGTGTTAATTATGCTTTAAATTAAAAACAAGTTGAAGATATAGAGGAGGCAGATGAGTGGATCTGAATATTCGCATGGCAAAGGCCTTGCTATGCAATCTGGAGGAATGAGGCAATGCACAGTAATTCAGGGTACATTAGATGTCCTCCAGGGACCCTGGACAACGCAGGCGGTGTCCCAAGGATGAAATGCAGGAGAACATCTCCTGGCCTCTGGGCTCCTGGCAGCACAACTCTGTGAGCCTGATTTTTTTGGAAAGGCTGGGTGCTTTGTGGAGGCTGCTGAAGTTGCAATGAAGAGCTTTCCAGCCCTTTTAGGGACACGGAGGCTTGCCGTCCACGCTGACCTGTGACCCGGCTGCCAGGGCCTTGCTGCGAGCATGGTGAATGGAGACAGGGGTGGGACAGGGTTGTTACTGGTGGGAGAACAAAGACAGACCTCTTTCTTCCTTTCATCTCAAGCAGAGGAGCTAATTTAGGGAACCCTTCCGACAAAAACTCACAGTGACCCAAATCCTTCCCACGTTGACTTGATGGGGGCAAAACCAAGCTCAGGGCAACAGAGTGCGCCCAACCCATGCAGAGCAGCTTGGGTGCA